GTCTTTGTCACAAGCTCTGGACACAACTAAACCTCATCTCAGTACTGATACTGAAAGTAACAGGAACTCTCATTATAGGCAAGGATCTAAAAGGCTTCGGTGTTATGAGCAGTGACCACCATCATAATCATTAAAATGGGAGTGACCAGTAATGAGTATCCCCAGTATCACCATTGTGACCTGGGGATAACTGACCCCAGCAGAGAGAGGACTGAGACCTGAGAGAAATGGCCATGCAGACACCAAGTTCAGTGAGCTGAGCCATGACAATGAGTTACACTTCAATTAACCAAGTGATGAGATTAGTAGGGTACCACAGTAAACAAACATATTAGAGGCTTGATGGTGGAGAAAAACTTCCGTGGAAAAATTTCTAAAGCATGAGGGTCAGCATGCAATTCCAGGCAGTAGCTAGGAGGGATGCATTGCCCAAGAGACACAATATAAAAAGTTCTACTTAACAGGAAAAAAAAAAAAGTTGTTCTTTTCTTTGGTGCTGTCTTTGGGAACTCTGTCTTCAACTTTCTGAGTGCTTCAGATGCCTCACTGCTATGATGAACATCAGCGACACACAGACAGTGATAAGCAAGAAGAGGGAGAAAGCGACTGATCCAGCTCCAAAAAAATAAACCTCTGGATCTGAGGAGGAATAAATACAAAATCTTGCTCCTCCAACACCTGTTAGCTTTTAAATGAGAAGATGACTCCTTTTCCTTTGCCTAAAATTTTACGAACCTTCAGCCTGAAACTCTCTATTTCAGTTTTCTTTGCCAGGCCAAAGGCTTTGAACAGCTCCAGCACAATGTGATGATCTCTTTCCAGGAACAACATTATGGGAAAAGTGCCTCTTTCTATTCAATACATCCTTGCAACAGTTTTCTGACATACTTGAGTGAGAAGGAGGAGAAGCTGGAATGGAGAGGATGGGTTAGGTATTGGACCTTCACTGTCACCTTTGCATTTTGCACTTACTCAGTTGAAGCCTCTAGCTTCTGGCAGATGATGCTTCCAAGGAGTTAGCTGCTCCACACGGAGAACGTCCTGCTTCTCCAGAGCCTGGAGCCTGAGGCCAGACAGCTCATCCACACCAGGGAAAGTGAGTTGGGAGCTTTCAAGTTGTTAGTGGTTGAGATGCTGAGGGGAGTATTCGTCTAGGTGATCTCTGAGGTTCTACTGGGGTGAATGTACCAGTAGGCACAATAGTAGGTAGCGGTGTCATCTACAGTGACATTCTTTACTGTAAGAAAGCACAGTTTCTGGCTAGAAAATTTTTCAACCACGTACCTGTGTGCTTGGCAGCCGTCACCTACTACTTTTGCCTTTGAAAATGGAGCATCCTCTCTGGAGCTTTGTTCACCTTCTGTTGATACCAGTGTATGACGGTTGTATCAAAATTGACAGCGAAGTCTCCAAAGTGACATTCCAGGTG